CCAAATCGATATAATGTGTAGGAGAGAGAATAACAGCGAGGGAACAGTAATGTTAACTCATCCCCTTCCTCAACTTTACAGCTTGCACGTACCACCACACACGGTATACTATTATCATCATCATCATCATTAGAAGAAGAAGATTCCTTCCCATCACTTTCGGAGTCTTCTTCCTTATTTATAATTGTATGAGTTTCCATAGTATTTGCAGAGATGTATTCCACACTTACAGTGGTGTTCGCTACACCTCCTGGAGGATGTTGTAACATGTCTAATACAGGAATTACAGTAGGAATCATATGTGGATTAAAGTCATTCACATGCAGGCGCTTGTGATCCACAGCACCAAATACACGATCCATAAAAGTCCAACGTAATTTTGTTACGATACGTGTCCAGACATCTTCTACTTTTTGCATACGTTTATCTTCTGTACAGATGCTATTAATATAATCCGTCTCTTGTCGTACAGGAAGAAGATGTTGACGGGAAATGACAACACGGAAAGCCCAATTTAAATCTTCCATAGAAGGAGGTTCTAGTCGTCCACTTGTCATCTCATTCTCTGGAGATAACTTACTTCCATTGTTTTTTTCACATTTCTCTGCCCCTTCTTTATCTTTATGTTGAGTAGATGTTTGACAATTCTCTTTAATACGACAGGAGATCTCATAAGATTCTAACCATACCGTGTGAATTTGCCGCAAGTAATGCATAAATCGATTACAATGATCATTATATTCAAGATGCGTCGGTGGGTCAAGCACACCATTGTGAAGTTCACGAATGATATCATCATCAAATGGAGCGAGAAGATGTAAATATGGATAGAGTGGACTGTATGTTCCCTCTGCCTTTTCACAGGCGAGTAGTACTGCCATATACACTTGATCTATAAACAATGGATGTGGTATTGGATCTAAACTAGACTTTCTTTTATTCATTATTGCCTCAATCGTATCAAAGGATGGAGCTCCACGACTTTGTGCTGCTATTGAATGACGTTCAAGTGTTTCAGAATTTAATACCAAACCCCATAAGGATGAATGAGATATATTATTAATATTTTTCTCTTGATGTTCCTGTTGCTGATTTAATGATACATCACTAAGAGGAATGGCAAAAATAACTTCACCAGTATTAAATCCTTTACGTGCGATTAATCCTCGTGTATATTGACATCTCAGACTAAATTCAATATTCTCTTCTAATTGTTTAAATAAAGCTGAACATACATTATCCTTTAGTCTATCACGTAGCCATGTGATGAATTCTATCACTTGCTCTTCTGGAATAGTTCCCATAGAATCTGTAGAAATCCAATTCTCAACACGAATTTGTTGCTTCTCTAATAGCGGTGAGGTTAAACTGGATGACCACATAGGAAGTAATGGCTTTGGTGTGTTATTCGGTACAATGTGAACAGACAATGCATCTTGTGCAGGACGATTATGAGGATCAGCAATAAAAGAAAATTGCGGTCGATGACGTAAACCCGTAACTGCCGTTGTTGGCCCTATTCCTACTACTGAAGTATCAGCAGATGCAGATACTGTTATTGGTTCTTGTTCATCTTTAGATGGTGAAGATGATGAAGATAAGGAATTTATTTCTCTTTTCATATCCATCTTTTCTATTGAGGCACTATTTCCATTCTCTACTGTTTGTTCGGATGATGTGGATATATAGGTTCTTTTCTCATGTGATAAAAACATAGTAGGTGTATAAGAAATATATCGGGTAAAAGGAATAATACCTAAATTTTGATAAATAGATGAATGAAGCCTCATCTCTTTTTTTTTTTATTTTTCCTTCTTTTATACCTCTTGTATTTCTACACCCTAAGAGAAAAAGAAAAATATGAACAAATTTGTATTGTTTTTGTTTTAGTATATATATTTTCCTTCTTCTTTTTTAGTTCAGTGTATCAAAAAAGTTAAAGGGCCTAAAAAGAAAAAAGAGAAAAGAGAAAAAAGAAAAAGAAATTGCACTTTACAAAATAAAATCGTAAATAAAAGAAAATGAACACAGTAATGAAAATAAAATAATCAAGAAACCAACATATGTGTGTATCTATAGCATTCAAATATAATAGAGTAATATCAATATATACACCTGTATTTCTACTAGCAGAGTTGCATTAGAAAGTGTATGGTAATTGCACATAGACGCTCGTGTATATGGGTATGAGAATACCCATTTTACCATATTTGGTGCATTTTGGGTTTCAATTATTTTTTTTTTTTTTACGAAAATTTGAACACTTCTGCTCTTTGCATTATTGTCTTTTTTTTCTTTTTGTTTTGCTTACGTTGTACGGCCCGCAATCTATACGTGGCAAGGTGTTCGTTGAACACACTTATCACAGAGACACCACACACAAACACAAACAGACAAACACTAAAAAAGAGTCTCTTTAGTAACGACGTGCCGTTTTTTTGGAACGAGAACCAAGAGATGCCCCTTTAGAAGGATCAGAATCAAATATTGGCATCGTATCTAAAGGTTTTGCAAATTGTAATTGCTCTGTAGCGGCGGGTGGATTCGTATTCGTCGGTAAACCAAATGGAGAAGAAGAAGATGAGGCTCCACTATTTGTTTGAGACGCAGCAAATGGATTAGATCCTACTGTAGAGGTATTCATTGGGAAACTCAATCCTGTTGTAGATGTATTTGTTGATGTTCTTTGTGCCATACTTTCTTGAGAAGCCCCAAATGGGTTGTTGGTGTTATTATTATTATTTACAGTGTTCTCCGATTTCACCTCGGCGACAACGGGAGGCTGTGGTGACTGTGCTACTGGGGCGGTGGAGGCTCCACCAAATGAAAAACCTCCAATGGCTCCTGTTGTCCCTGCAGGAACCGGTGTTGTCTTATTCTCTATTCCCGGGAAGGCGGGGGCCGCGCCGACCGCACTCTCTGCCGGCTTCACCGCCGTGTTGAATCCAAATCCCCCTCCCACCGCAGTTGTTGTCGCCTCTCCTCCCGTTGAAGCTGCCGGAGCCGATAATGAAAGGACTGGTGCCGCTGCTGCTGTTGCTGATGGTATTATTGCTGCCGTTGTTGTTCTTGTTGTGTTGTTGTGTGCTTTCAGATCCGCTACGGTGCTTTGCAGAACGGCGAGTGCCGCTGCGGTTTGTTTCGCTTCTCCGCGCAGGGCGGCGATATCCGCGCGGCAGACGTCGAGAAGGGCGGGGGCGCCACTCAACGCGTCGGCGAGGGCGGCGTGGCGGCCGGCGTGGAGCTCCACGTGTGCCGTCAGTCGAGCGACCGCCGCCCGCAGTTCCTCCACGGCGCCGTCGGCCGCACTGCGCGCCCGTTCCGTCTCCTCGCGGCTGCGGCGCAACTCCGCGCGGGTCTCTGTGACGAGTGTGTGCAGCGCATCATACTGCGAGCGCAGCTGCCGCAACTCCACGGCATTCGCATGCATTCCATTCACGTCATATACACTGCTATGGCTATTATTATTATTATTATTATTGTTATTGTTATTATTGTTATTGGTGGTGTATTGGAGATCTGGAAGGGGTTCCTTGCGTGGGAGTTTGGCACGTCTGTGGGACTCAATGGAGGCATTTAAGCGGGCCCGCTCCTCCTCTGCAGTGACGGGGCGCACAGGGCCCTGATGGTCTGCGGCGTATGGGTTTACTAACACCCCATCATTGCGATTCGAATCTCTGATGCGATATCTCTTTCTTCGTTGTCGTTGTTGTTCTTGTTCTTGTTCTTCTTCGTGATGATGATAATCAACTTCATCTCCTGTCCTTTGTGCGTGTGCTGCTGTTGGGGGTTGTGGTTGACTGAGAGCGAGACTGTCCATGGAGATGTTAGGCGTCAAGAGAAGCGGCGTGGGAACCCGCAGGCGATCATCCTGCACGTAATAATTGTGCACAATCGGAGCTGCGGCGGCAATGCGTGGGAGTGACGGTGGGCGTGCGGTTGCGGTGTTGGATTGATAGGCGTAGATATCATCATGCGCAGGGGTGTTGGGCCACATGATGGAGAGAAGGGACCCCCTCACGTGTGAGAGACTAAATGGATATACTGGAAGATACTTGGGAAATACACAGAAAATAAAAAGAAACAGGGAAAGAAGTAAATAAATAAATAAATAAATAAAAAGAGAAAGAAAGAAAGAAAGAAAAAAACAAGACCAAGATGGAATAAAAGAGTCTCTCTCCTGCTTTCTTATGAGTTTAATCTATATGAAATCACTCAGGTAAATTTACACATATAGCAAAAGAGACACAAACCACCGTTCACCCAAATCCATACACAGTTTTAAGCAGATCTCCTAAAGAAAAAAAACCTTTGTCATTATCGACCATTGTTTTCTATCTTATTTGATCACAAATAGCATCTATTCTTGTTCTTATTGTTTTCTTCTTGTTTTCTTCTCCCATCTTTTACTTTGTTGTCGTGCACTCTGTAAGCCACTTGAGATAACTCTCGCTTCCTGGTCCCATGGGTACACTAATCACCTCTGGTACTTCATACGGGTGTTTTGCCTTCACTTCGGCAATCACACGATCCACAAGAGCGGTCTGAGTTTTAATTAAAAGAAGACATTCCTGTTCCTCATTTAGTTTACCTTCCCATTGAAATACAGAGGTCACTGTGGGAATAATATTTACACACGCCGCTGTTTTGTTAGAGACGAGATATCGTGAAATCTCACGTGCCACTTCCATTGTTGGCGTCGTCACATAACAAATAGAAAACATGAAAATAATCTTTTTCTTTTTTTTAAAAACCAAAAATATGTATTCGAGTTCTTGTATTTATTTATTTATTTATTCTTTTTAAAGGTATATACGAATGCAGATAAAAGAAAAAGAGAAATATATTCAAAGAATAAATACCCTTTCATAATTATGTAAGGATAAGAAAGATTAAAAAAAAAAGAATAAAACAAAAGAAATAGAGAAATTATCATTCATATAAGAGATGACATGTAGAGATGATGAAGTTCCATACTTTTTTACTTTATAATAGATAATCAATACTTGAAGAGATAAAAATAGCGTTAGTCTCTCTCTCTCTCTCTATGTATTGCCATACACGGATTGTTTATCCAAACTTAACTCTTCTTTTTTTTAAAAAAGTTTTCTTTCTTCTTATTGACGTTCCTTTTCACAAGTTAAAAGCAAGCACTACTCTTACTCAATCCTTTCAAAAAAAAAGATATCAAACGCAAAAAAAAAGAAAAAGAAAAAAAAAGGAGAAGGGGTAGAAGGGGAAATAGAATCCCTCAACCCTCACCACTCACCACTCACCCCTCTTTGAATAAATCACATTCTATTCTGCAAAAGATAATAACAATATCTCCCATTTCATTTCATTTCCTCTCTCACATGTTAGGACTTCCTGCTGTCCATCCAGGCACAGACACTAGGGATCCGCCTGGATAAATTAATGCGGTGAGTTTCCCACCGTACACACAACGACTATCGAGTCCAAATGCAAACGGCAGCTGCTGCACATTTCGCCGGGCATCATGTCCAAACACCACCACTTCCGGTCCACGCCAAAGTGAAGCCCACGGCACTCCCGCATTTGTTTCCTCAGAGACTTCCAGAGATCCATCCGCATGTGAAATGAGATTACGCATTGTCGTGATATCTTTTACTCGTTGACGTTCCAGTGGAAGTTGAGGATGAAGACCAGCATGCACAATAATAAGATTATGAGATGGAATACGTAAAATATGTGGAAGTTGAGAAAGATAAGTTTCCATTTCTAATGGAAGATCTTTTGCTAATGGTGCTAACGTGGAATCACGATACTTTTTCGGTATTTCACCTTCTTTACGTAATGCTTTTCTCAGTTTCAGTAGTTTCACTTCATGATTACCTAATACACTACGTACACCGAGACTTCGCAGGAGTGTTAACACACCAATGGAGTCTGGTCCTTTATTCACCATATCCCCAACTGAGATGAGGAGATCCTTTTCTTTATTAAAACCCACAACACGAAGTAATTCCTGCAGTTGAGCTAAACAACCATGAATATCACCTACAATCACTACACGACCTGTAGGAGAGGTGGTAACAGTCTCCACACGTGCATATTCGTCTTTCATAATAAAAGTAAAATAAATAGATATTTGTATAAATAAATA